AACGATTACAAATCAGGCTTTGGTCAGCTGACGGCTGAGTTCTGGTTAGGAAACGACAAGATCCACAGGCTGACGGCCGCTAGACCCAGCTCTCTACGAGTGGAGCTAGAGGACTGGAACGGAGTAAGAGTGTTTGCCAAATATGGCAAGTTTAAGATTGGTGATGAGCAGGTGCAGTATCGACTTGAAGTGGGTTCATACTCAGGGACGGCGGGAGATACGTTAAAATATCATAATAACATGGCGTTTAGCACCAAAGACAGAGATAATGACAGAAGGAGTGGTAACAACTGTGCTGTGCAATACACTGGTGCTTGGTGGTACAAAAGCTGCCACTCCTCCAATTTAAACGGCAAATACCTGGGAAACGTAAAGGGAAATGCGAAAGGAGTCGATTGGTGGCACTTTAAAGGACACCATTTATCGCTATATTTCACTGAGATGAAGCTGAGGCCGTCATCGTAACAAAAAATGGAACTTGCTACAGCAGAAGTCTTTGTTCTTGACAGCACAATTCTGATCAATGATGTGTCACTAAAATCATCCTAGTTTTTCATGTTGTCTGGAAAGTGTCCAATCTGGCCAGAAATGATCCAAAACACTCAAATAAACAAGTATAGTTACAGTATAAATTTGATTTCAAGCATCGATTTAATAGTAAACCTGAATATGGCAAGGTTAATGATGTTATGAAATATAAATTAAAGTTAAAAACTAAATTAACGCTAAAATACACGAGTAATCATGCTAACAGAGGCTCCATGCAGATATTACAAGCAAATGATTTTTTGAACAGGTACGTCTTAATTGCTCCTTACAAAAGATCATTAACTCTATATAATTGCTCTTATTTCAGAGGGCAATGTATGTCATAAGCTAGAGGCTGCTACTTGGAATGATTTATCACCAATGGCGTCTCTGACAACAGTTCGTTGAACGAACGCAGGTTATATCGTGTCCTTTCTTTATCTTGATTAAGTTACAAATATAGAACGGTGCGACAGGTGTTCGCCAGACTAATTGGGCCGCACAATTCTGTAGCAATATGTTCCAATATGTGTTTGCAGGAATATTGAAGAGCAAACTATTGCAATAGTCTACGCGACCCATAACAAGAGTTATAACAGTTAGTAATTTAACTGATGAAGAAGGATTTAACCTACATGACATTAAGCACTTCTCGAAACATTATACACTGAAACCTCGATATAACGAGGGCCACAGCTACTGGCAAAAAATGCTTTAACAAGAATTCGCTATATCGAGGTTCTTTCCTATACATTTTACTATTTCAGGAATATCATTCGTTTTCCCGAGTATAGTACTTCGCTGTTTGGAGGTTCGTTATATCGAGGTTCCACTGTATATCAATGAAATTACAGTTCTGTGTTTTTCGAACATAATTAAAAGCAATGTAGACTCTAACCCCTTTTATTTAGCAGTATTCTTATTGAAGCATATCTTAGAGCCATGTATCAGTAAGGCTTGAAGCTTTACCTTCCGGGCTCGTTTATATCGTGAGCGAGTTCGTTTGGAACTCCTGCATATTTTTTACTTTCTTTGGACGGATTTATATGTAACATATGCCAAAACTGATTTACCCGCTGAAATTCTTTCTGTTGTTTTAACGCTGAAAACATTAAAAAAAATCATTAAAAGCAAATGGGACAGCTCTGCGAACACACCAGTCTGTTCTTTTCGATTGGCTACATTAAAAAAAAAAACGCTGTGTAAGAAGCTACATTTTTCGAGCCTGGGAAAATAGCTATTCTTGTATTTTGGGATAGTTATTGGCAGTTGAGAAGTACAGCTGTAGCTTCTTAATAAGTCAAATGTTCTCTACAGAAGATAGTAATATTGATCATCATAGAAATTAATAAACTTGAGTTTGGTTCTTAAACATGTAGTATCTATTAATTTGTTTATCCATTTCAGGCTTTATTGGGGGAAGATCAAGACATAATGAAAATATTAAAAAACATGAAAGAAATGGAGATCTTTATAAGGGAAGGGCACGAACGGGACACTTAGGCCCATGAGGGGTGCCTACCCTAGGGAATATAAGAATTAGATATATATATCTGCAAAAGTGCATCGTAATAAGCGTAACAAAACTAATTACAGAATATACAGTTGCGTTGTAATCTGTTAAGGTGATTCCCTGGTTTTGCACTGCGCATCTCTCTTACTGCGCATAACAAGATGGCCGCCGTAAAAAAGAGCATGTGAAGTAACATTAAAATGAAGTTGACTGAAGAGAAACGCTATTGGAATTTTTGCTTGCTGTTGTTTCTTGCCGAGATGAGACTCAATGTGTTGGGAAAGTGCATAACGTAAGCAGTACGCGTGTTGCTGAGTTCGACTTCCTCACGGAGAACCTCGATAGTGGATGTTTAACTTATGCTTTCTCACTTTGATTTTCATTTAAACGCTTTCTTTATCACGTTGTGTCCTAAATGTGATATCTCGATGTAAATTCTGTAAAAGCGGATTTTTTAATACTTTCTTCCCCCTTTCACATACATTCTATTTTGAAACTCGCCCCAGTCCTCTCTCAAAAATCGGAGAAAATGCATTTGGTGGGCACTTTCTGCAGTTCTACCGCAAAAACCAGTACGATGACCCCCATTTTTTATTTCATGATTTTAATAAGGACAGTGCTTCCTTTCGATGAGAAAAAAATTGGCCCAAATCTATGTTCAGTTTTTTGGCAATCTTATTAAATTGTACGGATTGAGCTATGACGGGTCGAATAGCACGTGTCCAATTTAATTCTACTTTGGAGCGTAAAGTAAAAACAAGGGCATTAAAAGGCATTTTTCTGGTACGTATGTGGATAAACAATATATTAAAGTCAAATTCCGTGCGATACCACATGCATCATCGAAAAAAATCTCTTCTTTTTGTCTAGTTTTGGGCTGCCCGCGGTTTTGTAAAAGGGTCCAAAATAGCCGTATTTGTCAGCATTGTGACGTCAAAACGAGCACGGTGACCCCCACTTTTTATTACTTTTTTATCACCTTTTTGATTTGTTACATCAGTGTACCAAGTTTCATCTACAATCCATGTTAGGTTCTTTTACTAGGGAATCACCTTAATATTTCCTTCCAATCTAAATTTGCAATCTCAAAGTCAAACTCCGTGGTTAAAATAGTTTGTAACCCACATAAGAACCTGATTTTCCCTGCTTGGCTAAACGGGTTCTTATCTTTTTGTGTTCTTAAACCATTACGGGTTCTTTTTGATCCAAACTAAAGAAATAAGGAAATCTTATTTTATTCCTCTCGGGTGGCTGCAGCAATTACTTTAGTTCTAAAAATGCACAGTTGAGTGCCTTCAAGGACTACAAGATCAAGTCAGTCTGCAGCATTACCTCAAAAGGAGTTTTAGGGGATACTATGATCGATTTGGTTTTCTTATGTTTTTGCTAAAAATGTAGGCTTTGTCGTCTGAACATGTCCTTCTGAAATTTGTGAACGTCTTTGCACTGGCTTAAAAGAGAAAGGTTTATTGTTAAATAATAATCATGATAATAATACACAAGTGTATACGGTGGATCTGGCGCTCAAAGGAGCACTTTTGCACTCGCCTTTGCAGTAAAGGGTCTTTGATACAGGGGTTCGCCCGTTCCTAGACCATGCTGATGAGCCCCAATAAGGGCAAAGGACAGCCGATGGCTGCCACTGCCCGAGTGATATGGTTGTGCGCATGCGTAAGGTACTGGCCATACCGTGGAGTTGGTACGTATGCTTCAGTGCTGATGATTGGTATTTGCCGCTTTTAGGCTTGATTAAATTTAAATACAGTGAAACCTTCCCAAGTGTCCGCTTAATAAACTTACTTGGAGGGTGTCCGTTTAATAGAGGTTGGTAAAAATTGCGCAATGTTGGTTAACGATTAACATTTAATGGTTACTCCGTACTGTGATAAAGTTCCATGTTGTTAAGGAAGCTAAGAAAGCTGTGCTGTACTTTCTGCAAGACTTTTAGGTGAACTTTGATTGCCCATGACAATCATACGGCCGGATATCGGTCTAATCTAAAGTTTAATGACAGCTAGATTTATTGATTTATCTTTATTACTCGAATACAGTACGTATTTCAAGGACGTAAACCAATACTACTATTGTTAATTCAGTCCGGTGTCCGCTTAATAGAGGTCACCAACAATAGAAATCAGCCAAATACTAGCCTGCAGGGCAGGCGTTTTCTTTGAGCGCGCAATTTGCTCGTGAAAGCGCCATGTTAAATCTTCCCGAAGAGAGGAGGAGATGGGGCGAGTCAAAGGGAGCGGGGAGGGGGCGGGGAGAGAGAAGAGTTTTTTCTCTCCTCCCCCTCCCCCCTTTCCTTCTTTCGCCCTCAAACCTACCGCAAGGGTTGCTATTTTTACTCTCTCGAATCTCCCACTGTCATAAAATCAAAGATGACGGCTACAACAATAATACGAACACGAACAAGGTTTCGCCCACCCAAAATACGCCTGCACTGCAGGCTAGTCAAACACAATTTATTTTAGTGTCCCAGTCCGCTTAATAGAGGTGTCCGCTGAATAGGGGCTCGTTATAAAGGGAAATATAAGACGTCAATTTCGGGACCCCGCTTAGTGTCCGCTTAATAGAGGGTGTCCGTTAATAGAGGTTTCACTGTATTAGGCAGCTTGAGTACTTTTTTCTTTCAGTACGTCTTTTTTTACTGTTGTCCACTGTGATTCGGCGAAGATTAAAGGATTTTAATAAGTTTATAAATTTACTTTTCCTTCTCAAGAGGAAAAGGGAATGGTTTCTATGTGGTGTTGGTTTGAGTATACCTTTAGTTTGAAACACGCGACGCAGCCGACAGTTTTCAGACTTCATAAACACTAAATGCGATTTTTTTTGGATTTAGACGGCTTTAAAGGTACATCTCTACATTTGTTGCGTCTTCCAATAATCACTGTTTTGTTTATTATGTTTATCTTCCCCAGCAAATTGAAACTAAATCTCAGCCGTGTCTTATTAAATTTAAAAACAATCATTAAGATCCGATTTCTTCTGTATTTTCTTCATAGACTATTAACTACCGTAAAATTCCGGCTTATTTTTTTCAAAGGCCCTTTTTAAGGGCTTATATTCGAAGGGGCGTATATACGGAGGGAAATTTGCGTCTCAAAATCGATAAGCCTAGCTTATTGTTGGAAGGAAATTTAAGTCAGTAATTTGCAGAAAGGTTTTACTGAAACTCCCCTTGAGGACGTAGACCTTTCTAAAAAGCAGCCATGCAAGTACTTTGACTATATGGACCGAGGAAATCCAAGCCAGGAGTGTAGAGTGAACTACTCAGACAGCAATAAACTGTGACACTTTCTGACTGTAATCATATGCACACGTAATAGGTGTTTGGCAAATACAAAAATGATATGTTACTGTACCGTTTTTTGCTTTGTTTTATCATTTCGTATTTGAGGACAATTTCCAAGTACAAGCCCCC